CTTTTCTTTAGCAGCTTTTAGTATATTGTTTCTGTGCTGAATTTCTTTCTTTCTTTTTTTTTTTTTTTTGGTGCTGAATTTCTGGGATCTTGATTATTATATGTCTGGGTGTGGTTTTCATTGTGTTGATGTTATTTGGAGTTCTATATGCTTCGGTTATGTGAACGTCAGATTGTTGCCCCATATTTGGGAAGTTTTCTGCTATTACTTCTACCCATGTTCTTTTTATATCATTTGTATTGACTCTTTCCTTCTATTGATGCCTATTAGTCTCACATTGTTCATCTTTGCATCCTCTTGCAGGTATTGAATTATTTTTCCTGTATCCTAGTTGTTTTTAAGAGATCTTTTCTTTTTCATTAGGTACAGTGGTGTCTTTAAGGTCAGAAAGTCTATTTTCACTTTCACTTAAATGGTTTTGCCAGCTTGTGATTGAGGTTTTAATTTCCTGTATATCACTTTGAATTTGTTTCATACATTCTATTTCTTTCCTATACTGCTTATTCAGGGGTTCCATCATTTTTATATTCTGCTCTATTTTTTTTTTCAGTGTATTCGTTTGAAGCACTTAGTACTTCTTTGATTATAGTTGTCACTACATTTTTTAGTTCAGAAATTATTTCTGATCTGATTTCTTCTATACCTTTGTGCAGTTGTTTCTGTACTTCCAATGCTATTATTTCAGAGATACCAGGTGTGTGATTTCCAGTTTCCTCTATGCTAGTGTTTTCTGCATTTGTACTGGGTGGACTCCGGGCCTGAGACTACATTTTGTTCCTTCTCTTTGTCATTTTGTATACCACTGTCTTCTGACCTTTGGTGTAGAGCTTAGATAGAGTTATTACCTTAGCACAGGTCTGGATCTATGAAGTTCCGATTCCTCCAGGTGGGTGTTGCTTGGATCTGGCTGGGGTCTGGCTGCTATACTCCACTTCTTCCTGCTGCAGCCCTTGGAGTTGAATGAACGCTTTGTGTCACTCTGGCAAGATGTTCTGTTCCTGAATCAGCTGGATGGGTCTTACTCTAGCCTCTTTTCAGGGAGTTCTGCTAAAGGGTTCCACGCTGGGCCTGGGCTCAGTCTATTCAGGGTCCGGCAGCCCTGGGTCCTCTCACTCACTCACCGGGTCTCCGTTCTGGGTCTATTCCGGATCTGCGGGCCCCAGGGCGGTCTCATTCACATGCCCGACCTGGGCTCTGGGACTATTCAGGATACAGTGGCCCTGGGTTGTCTCCTCTTCTATTTTTTTTTTTTTAGCGGAACCGGGGATTGAACTCAGGGCGTTGCGCTTGCCAGGCAAGTGCTTATTCTACTGAGCTATCTCCCCGGCCCCTCCTCTTCTATTTTTAATTGAAAAAGAAAAAAAAAAAAAAGAACTCTTATGGTTTGTCATTTTAAAATGTCATTCAGCTAGAGTTTCTCCCAAGTTTCCTAAATGTTTATATAAAAGTGATATACATTGAGGGCCAAGGAGATAGTTTAGTAGCATAAGCACCTGTCTGAAAAGCCCAAGGTCCTGAGTTCAATCTCTAGTACCAAAAAAAAAAAAAAAAAAAGAAATATTTTGTTTCATAGTAATATTTCTATAAATAGTTGCTAGCATTATAAGTATTTTGTTTTGAGAGTACCAAATAGTACTATCTACCAATTTTATAACCTGGCTGTATTTTCAGTCAACTATATGGAGATCAGGCAAGCTTTTTTGACGCGGAAAAGGTGCCAAGAATTAAGCACAAGAAGAAAGGCACAGTGTCCATGGTGAACAATGGCAGTGATCAGCATGGATCTCAGGTTAGAAAATGGGTGGTTCATGTGCTTTGCTTACAAATGAAGGACTGGAAGGAGTCTACAAAGTTATCTTTTTAATTATTTAGTAATGAGAGAATATCATCAAAAATATTTTTAGAAAAAAAATTGCACTTTTGTTCTGTATTTAGAAACATTATAAGGTTAAAAGTGTAGCTCAGTTGTAGAATGTGGTTTAGTGTGTGCAAGGCCCTATGTTCAATCCCCAGCACTATAAAACAAAACACATTATTTTCTCATATATATAAGCCAAGCCTGTTATAAAGAAACTAGAAAATACAGAAAAGTACAAAGAAGAAAATAATACTATCTACAATCTCATCACCCATGAGTATGAATAGTTACATCTGTGGCCTCTTTTAGTATTTACTACTTATTTTAGAACAAATTATATTGAGTACTTTTCATTCACTGTGTTATATAATCCTCACACAACTCTTTTTAGGGTAAATGCTTTTATTTTCCACTCTTTTTGCTGGAGGAAGCTGGGTTATAGTTTGTTCAAGTATGTTAAATAATTGTGAATGTGTTGATATTTTATATGTAAAGTCTGTCTTTTTTCTTTTGAGACAGGGTCTCACTGTGTAGTCTAGGCTGACCTCAAAATTAGCAACCCTCCCACTGCAGTCTCCTAAGTGCTGGGACGTGTGTGCTCCCATGTCTGGCCCTAAAATCTGTGTTTTTATTTAACTCTAGTAAGAGGTGTATAAGAATTGGCAAATAAATGTAGAGTCTTGCTTGTGTGCATTTTTTGCCAGTTTATTAGTGATTTTAGTTAGAATTGTATATGTATTTTTAATGTTTACAATACTATGTGTCTTTTTGTATAGTTTCTTATTACTACAGGAGAAAATCTAGATTACCTTGATGGTGTTCATACAGTGTTTGGTGAAGTGACAGAAGGCATGGACATAATTAAGAAAATTAATGAAACCTTTGTTGACAAGGATTTTTTACCATATCAAGATATCAGGTGTGGTTACACTTTAGTATCTTGCATATACTAGAATATTGTGGTTTTTAATAGGTAGTGGCATGAATGAGACTGATGTGCATACGACTAGTTTATGAATAATTCTAAAATGAGGATTAACATAAGATGATAAAAATCTCTATAAAAAGATTTTGTATTTGTACTAGTTATAATTGCTTATGTTGGGAAAAATTATTTTTTTTTCTGGTACTGGGAATCAAACTCAGGACCTTGCACTTACTAGGCAAGTGGTTGTGCCACAAGATATATTCCATTCCATGGGAGAAATTATTAATGTTTTAGTTTTTGTTATTTATTTATTTATTTATTTTGGTGGTACCAGGGATTGAACTCAGGACATTGCACTTGCCAGGCAAGCACTTATTCTACTGAGCTATCTCCCTGGCCCCTATGTTTTAGTTTTTAAAATGCAAGTTATTGAGAAATTGGTCAAAAGTACTAAGATTTAGTTATATCCTCAGGTCATGTAGAGTTAAAAAATTAATAAAAAGCATAATGCTCATTAAAGTGTCCTGTAGATTAGTAATATCTAAGGGCAAGTTGCAGGTTTTTTGGCTAATCCACTTAGACTTAGTTACTTTTTTTGTTGCTGAAACAAAATACCCAACACCGAAGGTTAAAGGAGGAAAGGTTTATTTAGCTCACAGTTTGTAGAGGCTTCAGTCTGTCATTGCTGGTTCTAAGAGTAGCTAGCAAAAGGGCAGTCGTTCATGGTGGCAGAAGATACCAACAGCTGTAAGAGAGAAGGGTAAACAAGCCTCTTTCTTCTATTTTATGCAAGCTACCTGCCTTAGGATGAGTGTAGAGCTCATAATACTGTTAATGCCAGCATCGGACTATAAATTGCTTACAATCTGTAAATTCAGCTACCTTAGAAAAGCTGGCCTTCCTTGAACCATAAGGCTTTGGTGGGGGGGTTACCTAGACACAAACCATAACAAACACTTGGTTTTTATAACATAGGAAAGTAAAATATGGATTCTGAAATAAATATAACATTTGACTTGGATTTATTTTGTAAGGATAAATCATACAGTGATTTTAGATGATCCATTTGATGACCCTCCCAATTTATTAATTCCTGATCGATCACCAGAACCCACAAGAGAACAATTAGATGTAAGTAAAATCTACTAACTGCATGTACTGTACATTAATGGCTTGTGATGATGTAGCTTATTATTATTAAAACTTCTTCATAGTAGTTATCTTGCTTGATCAATTAAACAAGTTTTATCACATAACTCTAGTTAGGTGAATAGCTTTAAAACCAAATTAAACTGTCACCTTGTGAGGGAACTTTTCAACTGAGGATACTTTGGAGTCAGACTAGGGCCCAGACATTTCTGAGTAGTAGTACAGACTCTCTCTGGCATTTTATCTGTCAATTTCTGCTTATAATACTTTTTCATAGCTGAATTTATGATTGAAATTAGTGCTCACTTTTAAGATCATTTATCTTCTTCCTTTAATACTTAGTTGAATAACAGATAATAGCTGTGTGTTTATTTTGGTTGTATAATGAACTGGAAGCCCCATCTGGCTAGTATGTATGTATGTACTTATTATTAACATTTATTTATTTATTTATTTATTTATTTATTTATTTATTGTGTGTTTGTAGGGAAGGTCTACAGGGTGTTCAGGGTCTCATTACTAAATCGGACTTATAGTGATCTGCCTGTTTATAGTCTCTCAAGAGCTGGGATTACAGGCGTGTGCCACCACACCCACTCTGAATTGCATCTCAGCATGCCCTGGGGGTGGGGCCAGCACAGCAGCCATGGGGATCAAACTCCTGGCCCCTGGGCCTGCTTGCAGGCACTTTAATCTGGTGAGCTCTTTGGCCGGCCCTTAGCTAGTCTGTAATTAATTAAAATCAGTTTTCAGTGAATTTTAAGTTTGTTTGCAGTTTCTATTCAAACACATTTGGTGGAACTAAGAATAAACCATAAGTCTTCCAAGTTTCTCAGATTTTTTTTTTTTATTTTTTTTTTTTTTTTTTTTTATTTTATTTTATTTTTTTTGCAGAGCCAGGGATTGAACTCAGGCCCTTGCACTTGCCAGGGAAGCGCTTACTCTACTTAGCCATCTCCCCGGCCCCTCAGATTTTTTGTGTTCTTTATGTATCAGTAAATTCTGCCTTACAGAGTGGTCGAATAGGAGCAGATGAAGAAATTGATGACTTCAAAGGAAGATCAGCTGAAGAAGTAGAAGAAATAAAGGCAGAAAAAGAGGCCAAAACTCAAGCTATTCTTTTAGAGATGGTAAGACAATTATCTTTGTTCAAATAGTTGTTTTGAAGCATATTTAACATAATTTATCTAATTTGGGTTCTTGTCTTAAAATAGTAAAAATTTAGTGAAGAGTTTTTTTTCTGGATTAGTAGCATGAGAGTAAGCAAATTAGTGTCAGGTACCTTTTTGAAAAAATGGAGAGTAGATATCTAATTCGTAAATATTAATTTCAGTTGTTAAACATTCATGTAATTTTATTTTATTTTTTAATTTTTTTTTGGTGGAACTAGGGATTGAACTCAGGCCCTTGCACTTGCCAAGGAAGCGCTTATTCCACTGAGCCATCTCCCTGGCCCCAGTTCATATAATTTTAAATGAATATATATTAGGTTGATTTTTTTTTTTTTTCCCTGAGGCAGGTTCTCGCAGTGCATTTCACAGTCCAGCATATTAGGAGGCCAGGAGATTTGTGTACCCCTATTTTTTTTTTTTTTTTTTTAATGAATTTAGGACAGAGTCTACAGGGCATATAGGATCTCACTACATAGATTGGACTCATAGTGATCCTCCTGTTTTCAGCCTCCCAAGCACTCACAATGCATTTCAGACTGGTCTTGAACTCACTTTGTAGCCCAGATAGGGCTTGAACTTGCAGTGATCCTCCTGCCTCATCACCTGAGTTGTGGGAATATAGGCATGTACCACTATACCTGGCTTTAGACTGAATTTTATATATCTATATTATTGTGCCACTCAAATACTGAGATGAAATGTAGAACTGATGCTAGAGATGTAGCTTAATGGTAGAGTGCTTAACATGTGCAAGGAGAGGGTTTAATCCCTAGCCCCAATAAATAAAAAAAATACGTATGTACATAGTAGAATAATAGTTGAATAATAAAATAAATCTGGGTAGAAACTGATCACTCTAAAATATACTTTCTCTATATTATTAATAGTATGAAGTCATTTGAGGAATAATTGTGATCTTTATAAAAATTTATGTTAGCATTATCTGACTAATAACAAAGGGTATAATTTCAAAAACTTTCATGAAATAAACAAAAATTGAAAATGCACATTTTAAGGAACATACTATATATCTAAGGATATTAACCTAGAGCAACCAATACCAAAACAAATTTTAAGATAGTTACTAGGTTTAGAAGAAAGACTTTGTGCAGCAGTCCAAAAGAGCAAGAGACTAATAAGAGAAAGATTACTGTATTATCATTCAACTGTAGAAATTTAGGAAGTTTATTACCAGAAGAGAAAATGGGTTAGCTTGACATGGTGGTGCATGTCTAAATCCTAGCACTTGGGAGGCAGGAAGATCACTGTGAGTTTGAGGCCAGCCTGGGTGACATAGAGACCCTGTCTCAAAACCAAACAGTGAACAAACAAAAAAAAGATTAATACTTTTAAAACTTTCTGTTTTTAGGTAAATTTAAGCTTATGGAAAAGTATGCAAAATTTCTATATACATTTTAGCCAGATGCACCAGTTTTTAACATTTTGCTACATCTGCTTTTCTGTTCTGCTTATACATGGACATAAACACACTTTTTTTTTTTTTTTTTGACAATTTGAAAGTATGTTGCCTATCATTTTCCTTTATTTCCTAGTCACTGTAAATCCAAAGGACAGCAAGGGTCCTATTTATGGTACAGTTCTCAAAATCAGAAAATTCAAATTAGTTTATCTATCTATCTATCTTTCTTTCTTTCTTTCTTTCTTTCTTTCTTTCTTTCTGTTTGGTTTTTCTATGTAGTTTAGGCTGGTTTTGGAGTCACTGTGTAACTCCGATTGGCCTCAAACTTACAGTGCTTCTTCTGCCTCATCTTCCTAAGTGCTGGCGTTACAGGCATGTGCTCCTAAACCTGGCTAAATACCTCATGAAAATACAATTTTTTCACAGTGAAAGTAGTATCATCATCTTTCTCACTATTCCTTCACTGGTTCTTCAGTGGAAAGTGTTATAATATTTAGTGTAGTAGTTGACTTGTGAAGTTGACTTTATTTTGGTTAAAGTAGAAGGCCAGAGGTTGAGGATTTAAGAAAAAAACCTAGAAATACTGTTCTGGAATTGTCCCTGTTTCCTTTTTTTGAGAGGGTCTCCCTCTGTAGCCCAGGCTGGCCTCGAACTCATGGGGATCCTCCCTCCTCTGCCTCCTGAGTCCTGGGATTACAGGCATATGCCACCTTCCCAGCCAGTGTTATATATTGAGCAATAATGTAGAATGAATTGGGCATTGCAAATCATGTAAAGCTAGATTTAGTATGATAGTTTTCAAAAGTTCAAAAATAAGCAAAACTAAACAAGTTGCTTAGGGATGTATATATAGTAAAATTCTAAAGATTTGCAAGAGAATAGACCCAAAGGAAGTAAAAAAGCTGGATGTTTATAATCTCTTGTGAGGGAGGCAGAGAGGAAACAGGACCAAGGACTATTATTAGTTCTTATGTTAGGTGGTTTTTTTATTTTTCTGCTTCATTAATTTAGATATACTTTATATAAATTCTTTTTAAAAAATAAAAAATACTTGTGCAAAAGAAAAAAGTAATTATAATTGGGTCTTTGAAGACTTATCTGGGTTCACATCCCACCTCTGTTATACTCTGCTCTTAAGACAATTATTTCCTTACTCCTTTTGAATTTCATGTTTTTTAATGTATTATTTTATTTTATTTTTTCTTTATTTAGTGCAGAGTCTACAGGTTTTCACTACATAGATCGGACTTGTAGTGATGCTTCCTGTTTTCAGCCTCCCAAGTGCTGGGATTACAGGTGCACTCCACCACACCCAGTCTCAGTTGCTGCCCCTGGGGTGGGGCCGGCTTGGCAGGCTAGGGATGGAACCCCTGGCCCCTGCGTCTGCCTAAAGCACTTTAGTCCCTTAGCTATGGCCAGCCCCTTTTTGTTTTTTTGTTATTTTTTTTTTAAATGGAATTTGCAGAGTTGTTTTAGGAACTAGCAGTAATAGGGCTGGAAACCATGACCCATGCCTTTAATGCCAACACTCTCAGAAGCTGAGGCAGAAGGATCACAAGTTTAAGCCTCCTTGGGCAACTCACTTAAGAAGACACTGTCTCAAAATAAAAAAGTAAGAAAAAGATTCAGAATGTAGTTCAGTTAGAATCTCTGGGTTCAATTCCTGGCACTGCAAAAAACAAAGAATTAGCAATGCATTGGGAGTGTTCACATCTGGTGTTTGCACAAGGTATGGATTAGGTAAATATTAGCCATTAATATTGTTAGTGTGAAGAATGTGTAGTTTCAAATTTTTAAATCTTTAGATTTCTTTTTCTGAGCTGTAGTGTTTGCAGTGTAAATTTAGAGGTTTTAAGGACATCAGTGTTGAAGACTTGGATGCAGTATTTAGAACAAAAACTAAATGAAGGAAATGATTTATATCCTTGCTTATTTATAATTTAGGTGGGAGACCTACCTGATGCAGATATTAAGCCACCAGAAAATGTGCTGTTTGTGTGTAAATTGAATCCGGTAACTACCGATGAGGATCTGGAAATAATATTCTCAAGATTTGGCCCAATAAGAAGGTAATGGCTAGAGTTAGTGAATGAGAAATCTAGTAATATCTTGGTATTAGTTGGTGGTTTTCTAATGGCAATTGGTGAGTCTCTGAAGTTTGGGTGAATTTAATACTGTTGAATTTTTGCAGGTAAGTGTTTGGATAGTAGGGAAGAAAAGATATATGCACACATACACACAGATTAAATATTTGAATGATTCAGTCTTGACAGAAAGATTTTTTATCTTAACACAAGAAATGAGTGGGGTGATTTAAGTCTAGTTCTGTAATATTTTCAAGAGTATTCTTTAATATTTAAAATATTAGGGCCAGCCAGATAGCTGATAAAAGTCCCTACTTAGGCAGATGCAGGGACTAGGGTTTGATCCCCAGCATGCTATGCCAGCCCCACCCCTGGGGCACGCTGAGCCTGCCACTGAGACTGGGTGTGGTGGTGCATACCTGTAATCCCAGTGCTGGGGAGGCTGAAAACAGGAGAATCACTATGAGTCCAAGCTGTGTAGTGAAACCTTATACCAAATATATAAAAAAAAAAAAATAAGAGGGGCTGGGGAGATAGCTCAGTTGAATAAGCACTTGCCTGGCAAGCTCAAGGGCCTGAGTTCAATCCCCAGCTCTGCCAAAATAAATAAATAAATAAAGAAAGAAAGAAAGAAAGAAAGAAAGAAAGAAAGAAAGAAAGAAAATTCCAAAGCATGGACTTAATATTTATATATGCATGAATATACATGTACTATTTTAAAGTAACATCCCACAATTTGTCTATGTTTGGACTAGAATTATGATTGAAAAATTTAGCAATTTATTATAGGAAAATTAAATATTTTAGTTTTATTCTTCCTTCATTGCTTAGGGAATATAGGACTATAGGCCTAGGAGGAGCAATCAGTAGAATTCAGATAATTTAGTTATTGGATTGATGAACTATTTTTTTAAAAAAAGAATAATTATTGAAGAAATTGGAGAAATACAGATCTGTGATTTTAACTTCATCATTTAAGAGCTGACTTATTTTCTTTGGTTTTGAAGAGTGAGAGTGAATGGTTTTTATTCTAAATCACTTTATAAAACTTTCTTTTAGTTGTGAAGTTATCCGAGATTGGAAAACAGGAGAGTCACTCTGTTATGCTTTCATTGAATTTGAGAAGGTATGTCTTAATCTAGATATTTTAGGTTGGGTGTTTTTGGCTTTTTAAATTAATTATTTGTATGTGTGTGTGGCACTGGAGTTTGAACCCAAGACCTCATGTTAGGCAAGTACTCTACATTGAGCCATGTCCCCAGTCCTCTTTTTATTTTTTATTTTGAGTTGGTCTCACTACATGGCCTAGGCTGGCCAGCCTTGAACTTGAACATCTGCTTTCTGCTTCAGCCTTCCAAGTAGGTGGGATTACAGGTATGTGCCACCATGTATTTATTTCTTTTTTCTTTTTTCATTTATTCAGTGTGGGTGATTGAGCTCAGAGCCTTCACACTAAACTATATCCTCAGCTCTTTTCATTTTTATTATTTGTATTTTTGAGACAGGGTCTCACTATGTAGTTTAGCCTGGCCTTGAACTCACTATGTAGCCCAGGTTGTCCTCAAACTTGTGGCAGTCCTCCTGCCTCAGCCTCCATAGTGCTGGGATTACAGGCCCATGCCACCATGCCTATCTGATATCCCGAGCTCTTCTTAACTTTATATTTTAAGTCCAGTTTTGCTTTGAACTTATTATGTAGCCTAGATTCAACTCGGACTCACAGTGATCCTCCTGTCTCAGCCTTCTGAGTACTGGGATTATAGGTATGCACCACCATGTCTGGCTTTTTAAATATAGAGATGGGGTTTTCCTATATTGCCAAGTTTTGCTTCTTTTTCCTTAAGTTACTGGGGTGGGCCTTAAATTTGTGATCTTCATGCTTTCCACCTCCTGAGTAGCTGACATAAGCATGTGCCATTGTGCCTGGCTATTTTGTTTTTATATGATATTAAACATGAACAATTAAAAAACTCTGTTGAGTTTCTGGGATTTCATTTTCTGTTTTGCTTTTTTTGAGACAGGGTTTCACTATGCAGTTCAGGCTGGCCTTGAACTTGCTTTGTAGCCCAGGCTGGCCTGAACTCACAGTGATCCTCCTGCCTCAGCCTCCTGAGTGCTGGACTTACAGGTATGTGCCACATTGCCTGGCTTGCATTTTCTTTAGGCACCCAAGAAAGCTTTCTTTTATTTACAAAGGGAGTAAATACAATATTGACTTTTTTTTTTTTTTAAGATAGGGTCTCACTATGTAATACAGCCTGGACTTTGTGCCACCATGCCCAACCTCTTGATTTTAATACATATATAGGTTCAGGTGCAGTCTGCCTGATTTTATCTTCAGAACTTTTCAAGTTTTGGGCACAGTCCTTCGTGATGATCATTTGTTGTTACTAAGTTTAACTACATTATTTGGCCTCATTTCCATGGTTGGTAGTTTCTTTGTGTTTTGAGTCTATATTTTTTGTATGTTAGGCAAGTTCTGTGCTTTGAGCTATTTGAACCAAAGTTTTTTAAAAATTGAATTAAATACATATGGAAAATGTATAAATCATAAATGAACAGTTTGATGAATTACTACACAAGTAACACATGTAAGTTTTCACTTAAGACATATAAAACACTTAGAAAAAAAATTACGAGCATCCTGGGAGCCCTGTATCTTTCCAGTAATTTCCCTATCAATTTTAATATCACATTATTTCACTTAATTTTTGTATAAATGAGAATACTTACTTTGTGTCTAGATTCTTTTGCTAGTGTTGCATGTGTTTTCATTTTGCTGTTGGTAGACACTTGAGTCCTTCCTAATTTTTAGTTATTGTGCATGTTGCAATTACAAACTTTATTTATATACTATGTTTTTAGTTATTTTTAATTTTTATAGTAAATGTTCCATAAATACTTCATTTGGGGTGTGTGTGTGTGTGTGTGTGTGTGTGTGTGTGTGTGTGGTATATATCTAGGAATGAATTATTGGGCCACAGAGTAAGTAGAGCATTAGTATATAACTAATCAGTTTTCTAGGGTGGTTATATTAGTTTTCACTTATCAGTTCATGGCCATCTATGTTTTCCCATATCATAACCTCTTGATAATGGCCAGTCTTTTTAATTTGATCCATTATAGTAGAAGTGTAATAGTCTTATTGTGGCTTATTTCACATTTTCCTGGTTGCATATCTTTCCCTGTGTTCATCCCATTTGATAGCCCTTTTTGAGTTTTTTGTGGTTTTTGAGTTAGTGTCTTGCTATGTAGCCTAGACTGGCCTCAAACTCATGAGGTTCCTGCCTCTGCTTCCTGACAGCTGAGGTTACATGACTACCACAACACCTGGCTGGCTGTCCTTTTTAAGTGAAGTACCTACATAAGACTTGCCCGATTTTCAATTTGGCAATCTGCCTTTTTGTTTATTTGTGAGAGTGGGAGTCCTAGCTTTTTTTTTTTTTCCCAAATATCTTCTGTTCAGTGGATTTTTTTCTTTCATAATGCTGTCTTTTAATAAATATAAATTTCTAATTTTAATTTAGTTCAGTTTGTCAGTATTTTTCTTCCTTTCTCATGGCCTATTAAAAAAAAAATAGTGCACGCTGTCTTTTTCTCTCATCGCTTTTGCTGTCTTCAAGTGCCATGAATTGTTGTCTCTCTGCCATTTGCTACCCTGCCTTGGAGCCAGCCAATTAGGGCCTGAAACCTCTATAAGCTAGAAGCTAAATAAACCTTTCCTTCCTTAAATAAAAAGTCTTTGCCTGCTCTAAAATCACAAAGAGGGCCGGGGAGATAGCTCAGTGGTCTGAGTGCCTGCCTGGCAAGTTCAGGGACCTGGGTTCAATCTCTGGTACAGGGTTTGATCCCCAGTACAGCCCTGTGCCATGCTAGCCACCAAAACTGGGCGTGGTGATGCACACCTGTAATCCCACCACTGGGGAGGCTGAAACAGGAGGATCACTACGAGTCTGAGCTGTGTAGCGAGACCCTGTACCAAATACATAAATTAAAAAAATAAAATAAAATCATGAAGATATTCTCTATTTTTTAGAAGCTTTGTTAGATTATTCCCTATTTGAATCTGTGATTTATTTTTTGGGCATTATGTGGGTTATATTAAGTTGCATTTTTCTTGTACTGGATAGCCAAGAGGTCTGGTATCATTTATTGAAAGGGTTGTCATGTTCACACAGGCTCTATGGGGCCACCTTTGCTATAAATCAAGTGTCCACATATGTGTAGTGTCTGTTTCTGGTTGTTCTGATGTTCCACTGGTCAGTTTTTGTCTGTTTGTATGCCACTGTTTTTATTATTGTTGTGTTAATCACCATATGTATAATGTCTACATATCTTATTTTTTATTTTTTAAATTTTATTTATTTGTGTGTGTGTGTGTGTGTGTGTGTGTGTGGCCAGCTCAGCCCACCAGGGGGCGCGGCTGGCTGGCATGTGGTACTGGGGGGATTGAACCGTGGTCCCTTTGCTTTGCTAAGCTTGTTCAAATAGGTGCTTTAGACCACTGAGCCATCTCACCAGCCCCATGTCTACATATCTTGTAGTGTGAATTCTTCAATTTTATTATTCTTGAAGAGTGTCTTGACTATTTTATTTTGTTTTGGCTATTTATACATGCATTTCCATGTATATTTTTGACTATCGATTTCAAAGAGATTTTTGAACTATTAAGTATATTTATATATATATATATTTTGCAAATACTATAGTGAAAAAATGATCTAACAATTTAGAAAATCTTTCCCCATTTTCTTTTTGGGATAATGGCACAGTGATAGAATTAAACTTGTCCAAGTCTAATCAGTTTCATCAAATGTAATATTGGTTGTCATGTGCTAGATGGTATTATTACTGATGGGGATGTCTGTGTCTTCATGGAGTTAATAATTCTTTGACTTTATTAACCAATATGTATTAGTTCTTTTTTCTTTTTTTAAAACTTTCTGCAAAGCTTTAGTCCAGAGGGACTCAGTCCTTGTTGGCAGCTGCCTTCCTCATGGCAGCCAGGACATTGCTCAGCTCCTCACACTTCCTCTTGGTGTGGATGTGTGTCCCCACCTTTTTCTTGATAAACTTGAGGGCACATTTGTCCTTGGACACCTTGAGCAGCTCCATGGCATGCCGTTTGTAGGGGGCAAAGCCACACGCCTCCCGGATCATGTCCCGAGTGAACTTGGTGTTTTTGGTGAGGTGTCCACGATGGCAGCTGTGCCTTGGTTTGTTCACATTCTTAGTCACCTTGTGGCCCTTGTTGAGGCCCACGGCCATGGGACAGCGGAGGGCCATTGCTACTGTTCTCCAGTGGTTGCTGTGGTGGAGCTGTATTAGTTCTTGACACACATGGGTAAATAAATATGATTGTAATGAGTTCTTTTATCCGGTTCTCTTGGAATTCTGTTTAGTATATCGTAAACAGACAAAAGGATAAATATCCACGAATATAGAAGAAATTTGATTAGTGCCACATTGAAATATCTTACTCTGGTCTTCAGATGTCAGAAACAGGCATAGATTTTGTGAAGTAATGATAGGAATGCTTCTTGTGTAGCACAGCCCTAGCTATCACGGGCCCACAATGCATGATTTAAAATTTTAGGGAATTTCTGTGCTTCAGAATTTAAAATGTTTTAGGCCTGTTATGTTGGCTCATGCCTGTGATCCCAGCACTCAGGAGGCTGAGGCAGGAAGATTGCCACAAATTTGAGGCCAGCTTGGGCTACAAAGTGAGTTCAAGGCAAGCCTGAAGTGCAGAATGAGATCCTGTCTTAATAAAAACAAAGGAACAACAAAAATTTAGAATTCTTCACAATTAAGAAATATATACTTTGTGGATACCCTAGTACACACTCTGTGTGTGTGTGTGTGTGTGTGTGTGTGTGTGTGTGTGTGTGTGTACATAGACACATACTACATCTGTGGATTAGATAGTACCCCTCTGGCCCAACATTCTATAATGAGTCACAGTATTTTACAGTGAAAGAAATGGATATTTGTATCAAGTCAGTTTTTAAAAAAGGCCATTGGCTCCCTTTAAGTCAGGTATTGCTGCCAAACTGCTGGCATTTTTTGTTCTTGTTTTTATTTTGGTGCTAAGATTTCTTTAGGGCTTCATGCATTTATGCACTTGCTCTGCTACTGACCTATATTCATAATCTCTTGTTTTTAAGACCAAATTTATGAAAACAGCTTTTACTTTTTGAGATACAGTATTTTTGGGTTGTGGATAAAAGTGATCATAGATTTGTGCTGTGTGACTGTTATCTTAAGTGTGTGTATATGTTCAGACTGCCAAAATTTAAAATCCTGGCTTTGACCTATAATGTGTGACCTTTAATAACTTATGTATCTCATTAAACTTCTGCTGTCTCACTGAAAAAGTGGGACTAATAATAGTTTACCTCATAAGGTTGTTACTAGAGTTGAAATAACACAAAACATTTAATAATGTATGATGTGTAATAACTACTCACGTATTTCAGTGACAACAGACTATGTATGTTCTATCTCGTCCTAGCTATAGAAATCTTTCCCATAAATATTTGTTTTTAATGATTATTGAAAGGAAGAAGATTGTGAGAAAGCATTCTTCAAAATGGATAATGTCCTTATAGATGACAGAAGAATACACGTGGATTTTAGCCAGTCTGTTGCAAAGGTTAAGTGGAAAGGAAAAGGTAAGTTGGTTTATTTTCTTTTATTTTTTCTCTGTGCTTGAGCTCTGTGTCTACTTGTAAGGGCTACATCCCCTGCCTTCCAAGATGATTTTTGAGTGAATTTCTTCATGTTTTTCTCAAATAAAATGTTACTTAGGTAAGAGAGATGCTTTGACTTCACATATGTCATCATAAACATATTTTATTTTTTATTTTACTTTTTTGGTACCGAGGATCAAACTAGGACCTTACACTTGACAGACACTTATGCTGCTGAGCTGTCTCCCTGGCCCACGTCTTTTATTTTTCATCTTAGTTAATCCTGAGATAAATTATCTATTTTTATAGATTAGTGAGACTCCTACCAGCAGGCATACGGCAAATCATTGATAAAACAATGTCAATTTCTTACTGTTTCCAGTTATCTTGCTTTTTTTTTTTGGTGGTACCAGGGATTGAATTTAGGACCTTGTGTTTGCCAGAGAGGCATTTATTCCACTGAGCTATCTCCCTGTCCCCCCTTTTTTGTTTCCAGTTATCTTAAGTTTTGTCATAGTCTGTTTCATATTATGTGAAACATTGTGTGTTTGTCATTTTTATTTTCAGAGTCTCTAGACTGGCTAAGTACGGTCATTTTTTTTTTTTGCGGAACTGGGGATTGAACTCCGGCCCTTGCGCTTGCCAGGCAAATGCTTATTCTACTGAGTCATCTCCCTGGCCCCAAGTACAGTCATTTTGTCTTTGGCCTTTATCTTCTTTTTTTTTTTCTGTCTTGTTTGTATCTTCCTTAAATCTCTGACAATCAAAGACTCTATGGTTCATAATCCACATCTTTCCTTATGCCTCCAGTTTGCTTTGCTCATACACGGACTCCAGACCCTTGTATAGGGAGCCTTCCCACAGGAAGCACTAGGAAGTGGTAGTTGAGGGGATAGGAAAGGCAGGCCTGGCGGCAGGTCTGGAACATGTGTGCAAACAGCCCTCCTGTGGTAAGGACCTGGGCTGACGAGTAGAGAAGCTGCATGCGTGCTCTTCTTTTATGGCCCTGCTCCTGGAGGCCAGCCAGGATGTAACAGTAGCCTTATGTTCTTAAAAAGATTGTTCTGTTTTGTCACTTGAGAGGAATAAAAGTGCCTGTAAGCCAGCATTTCAAACCAGTACATTTTTCTTTGGCATTCTCATCAACCCTCTCATGATATCTTTAGTGAACTTCTATGTACATTCTGCTGTCTCCTGCCAGGCTGGTTCTCTGTTGAGAAATAGGTCAGGGATCTTCAGTGCCTCATTTCTTCCAAGTTTAGGTCTTTCCGATCCCAAATTTAGGTCCCAAATCTTCAGTTTCCACCAGACTTAATATTCTCATGGACTTAGTGGCTATGCTTATACACTGTATTATTGACATTTATTTGAAAATTTGATGTTGTAATATTCACATGTATCATTAGATGGCAGCATATGCCTACCTAGCAAAATGGATATTTGATTTTTGTTCAAATAAGAGTGGAGATGAAATTACTATGATTCTTTTGTTCTCTTGTCCTTTTTCTGTCTCAAGTATATGTCCCTTTTAAAAACAGCTCGTATCTTTTATAAAATAGGTATTGTTCCTGATTAATTAGGTGGTTTTTCTTACTAAACTATTTTTCTTAATTAATAGGTGGGAAATATACCAAGAGTGATTTCAAGGAGTATGAAAAGGAACAGGACAAGCCATCTAATTTGGTTCTGAAAGATAAAGTAAAGCCCAAACAGGAGTATCCTTAACAAAAGTCCGTCGATGTGTATTGACTGTCTACTGTGATGTGTAGAGTTCTGTGTGCTGTTTCAAAAAGTCATGAAGTGGGGCTGGGGAGATAGCTCAGTAGAGCACAAGGGCCTGAGTTCAATCCCCAGTTCTGCAAAAAAAAAAAAAAAGGTCATGAAGTTATTGAAAACGAAGCTTTTGAGTCAGAGCTGGGATTACAGGCATGTGCCACCACACCCAGTCTCCAGATCATTTATTTGTGAAGAAGTAATTTATTATTGCTTTTTTTTTTTTTTTTGGCGGAACCAGGGATTGAACTCAGGCCCTTGCGCTGGCCAGGGAAGCGCTTATTCCACTGAGCATGTCCCCGCCCCCTATTATTGCTTTTTAATGCCATATACATAATTTGTTTTTTCATTATATCCTGTATTATAAAGAATGTTAGGGTTTTTGGTTTTTTGTTTTGGGAACTAAAAAAAAACTTTATTGAGGGCAAGAGGATGCAAATAAAAAAAATCAAAAGCTTATGTAGCATTTAATGAACCTTCCACTCTTTGTCCAGTGAGGGCTGGATGTTATTTGTACACTTTCTAAGGGTCTTGATCGAGAGGCAGATTCCTTAAGTGGCCTTGGGAGAACTTTCATCAGGGCAGGAGTAAATGGTAATGTCACCTACTTCTTTCCGTTCTGCTTCATGTGTACTACAAAGTAATCATTGCATGTACTGGTGAGACCTGCAGTTAGTGAAAAGAAGCTCTGGAAGCCCACTTTGCCATCTCGGCTCTGGCCCAGGTCCTTCATGATTTTGTCGACAGCCAGAGGGTCTTTTTGATTTTCCAGAAATCCAGGGAACTCTTTTTCCTGAGTACTCTTAGGTCCTCCTTTGTTAAGCAGCATTTGTCCCCAGCAAATTTGTGAAATGTAAACATCATGGTTTCCATGGCATGTTCAATTTGGGAGGGCATCTTGGTGAGGTCTTTTGAAACTTGAGCGTGGAGGTGCAGCAGACGCAGGGCGGTGGGGGGTGGGGGGGGTGCGGCGCAGCCGAGGTGAGCAGCGCACCCGGGTTGCGCGCCTTTGTATGTGGGCCCGAGAATGTTAGGTTTGCAATGAATGTTTAAATCTTTACCTTTCTACTTGGAGGTTAAATACCTTCCTACTTACCATGTACCCAGATCTTTAGGTAAGATTTTTATTTTTTGTATATATAATTATGTTTTAAATTCCTCATCAGAAATTTCCTTATCCTGGCCATTTTCTTATGTTTAACTCCCTTATCTAATTGACAAATCCCTGAAATTATTTGTTAAAAGATTAGGTTGCTTTTTTCTGTATAGTATATTGTCATTTTAGTAAAAATACCCATTTAGCTCCCAGTGAGTTGCAAGTGTTGACTTCTGGAGGATCACAAAGAAAACTGTTGCCCACTTAATTCACGTTCTTTCAAGTTTTAGGTTGAGACAAGTAAAAAGCAATGAAACATACTGTTCATATTATGTCAGTTTAATTTGGTCACTGCTTTTTTTTCCATTATAAATCTATCACTCCACACATTGCAAAGGTTATGTCTTTTGTGGTTGTTTCAGGTAAATGGTGTCTTTGTTTCCTAGTTTCTGTTGATGCTTCAGGTTTCTCCTTTCTTATTCTATATACACATTTCTTTTCCAAGTACTCATCAAGGAGAGATGAATATCTGGTTGACCTTTGTATATTCTTGTATTAAAATGTGTCAATTGCCTGCAGTGTGTAGAGCACTGTGAAGGATTAAAGCTGTATTAAATCAGAAGGATGCTGAGAGTATCAGCATAAGAAGAAGCTTTTACAGGCAGGCAGACCAACAAGCTAGGATTTGGTCTGAAATAAACAATACTAGAGATTTTGAGACTGAAGGTTCAGAATCATAAAAAGTAGGAATATACACTTGAGATTTATTTACAAATTTAGGTTAAACCCTAACCACAACTGGAAGAAGGGAAGCATGTAGGACAAATAAAAGGAAGTATAGTCATAGTGCATCATTGAGTAGTAGGAGGTGTCTTCTTCCCCATGGAGCAGTTCAACCTGAAATGTTTTGAATTTGTAACATTAAAATGCTTTAAATTCAAGAGGCTAGATTGTAAGGATTTAAAACAAAAAACCTAAACATATTTGTGAACAAATAGTACTGTTTTATAGAATTTTCTTTAGGGATGAAAATGTGTGCTATTTCTATTGTCCAGTATACTAACCACAAGTGGCAGATGGAGGATGGATTGGATAACTGAAATATTTTTTTGTTGCTGATGGAGATCAAAATCAAGGCCTCATAATGATAGGCAAGCCTTGTACCACTGAGCCACATCCTTATACAATAAATGACTTTTAGATTTTGTTTAGCTCATTTACTTAATAGTGGTAGTTCAATTCAGGCCTTTGAGCATGCTAGGCAAACACTTTATAACTAAGTGACAGCCCTGCTTTTTCTTTTTTTTGCAGAACCGGGGATTGAACTCAGCCCCTTACGTTTGCCAGGGAAGCTCTTATTCTACTGAGCCATCTCCCCAGCCCCACAATAAGGTGACACTATTGTTTTTTGGAGCTGGGTATTGAACTAAGGCCCTTGTACTTGCGAGGCAAGCAATTATTAAACTGAGCTATCTCTCCAACCCCAGCCCTGCTCTTATATTTTGTTAATTTTATTCACAATTTGTCAACTAATAGATTTTTAAGCTGATTTTTAAAGAGGTGAAAGTGGACACTGAATTTTGAATTTTATGTAATTTTCACATAAAACATTGTTTTGATGTTTTAAAACACATTTAAAAATTTTTTTTTTTCATTGGTATATTTTATACACATCCTGAAAACATTTATCATAGGGAATTTGTGCCTGTACATGATGCATCTTACTGCTGCTTTTTCCTCATTTCCCTTCCCACCCTCTTCCTCTCTTTATTTACAGAAACTTTTTCTGGTTTTTTTTGTTGTTTCTTCTTTTTCTGCTCCCCTGCTCTTATTGCCTTCTCATTTGAAAATTTTCTTCCCATTTCTCAATATCTTTTGTCCAATTTATTTCATTTAAGAGTATGGTCTCAAGGTACATTTAGCTAAAAATGTCTCAAGCCTATCCTTTATGGCAGAATAATACTCCATTGTATTTTTAAAAACTCACATCTTTTTTATCCATTGATCATTGATGGGAATTTGGGTCATTTCCAACATTCAATCATTATAGGTTGTGCCATTATAAACATGGGTGTTTATATATCACTGTGGTATTGTGCTTTCAGTTCTTTCAGAAAGATACCAAGAAGAGGAGTAGTTGGGTCAAATGGAACCTGTAGTCCTAATTTTTTAAGAGATCTTCACACTGATTTCTACAGTGGTTGTACCAGTCTATACTCCCACCAACAATGGAAAAAGGTTTTTTCCCCCAAAGTCCCTCTAGCATTTGTTATTGATTGATTTCTTGATAAGAACCATTCTTCCTGGAGTGAGGTGGAATCTCAGTGTTGCTTTTTTTATTTTTTAAAGAGAATACAAAATATTATCAAAATAGAAAAAATATAAGTGATACAGAATTTTACTAAATAAAATATGAATTTCACAGTATTTATTGTAATGCATAGTGTAGTCTTCCAACTAGTTATTCATATTACCAGATATATGCATGCGATATTGGAAGAAGAAAGAAAAAAAATAAAGAAATATATAAGAAATTAAGAAGAGAAAAAGGACAAAATTGAGAAAAGGAAAGAAAACCAATTAAGCATTAACTGCTCCTTTCCGTAGACCAGCAGAAATCCACAGTACCAAACCATCTTGTGTACATACATACGTATATCTCTGTCCCCCACTCCTTCTCCTGTCTTTCTCAACTCAGTAATTCTTTTTGTTTGAAATAGGTTCATTCCCTTTTCCCAGAATCTGTTTTACCCTTCAGATTTTATTTTCTCTCTCATGTTCTCACACCAAGGAAATAATACTATATTTGCACATGCAGGCCTTATTTATTTCACTTAAGAGTATAGTTTCTGCTTACATCCATTTACCGATAAAAGCCAGTGATGATAAATATTTTTCATATATTTATTTGCACTTTCTACTTCTTGATCTAAGAAGTGTCTATTCATTTCACATGCCCATTTTTGGATTAGGTCCTTAAATTTAGGGCTCTGAAGTTTTTGAGTTCTTTATATATTCTAGGTATAATTCCTTTTTCTGAGGAACAGCTGGCAAACATTTTTTCTCATACTGTGGGTTGTCTCTTCACTCTGTTGATAGTTTCTTTTACTGTGCAAAAAGCATTCTAATAAGGTAAGATTCTAGTTGTTAATTCTTTGTGATAGTTCCTATGCAGTTTGTAAGTCTGCCTACACAAGTGTCTTCAAGAGTTTTATCTATTCTGTCTTCCAAGATTTTAATGTTTCTGTTTTAATATTTAGACCTTTGATCCATTTTTAAATTTAGTGCATAGTGGAGGATGTGGCCTACTTTTAATCTTCAGTATATGGAAGGCCAGTTTGTAGTTTTTGTATGGGGAAGTCGGACATAGGACCTTGCACTTCCCAGGCAGGTGCTGTGTCACCAAGCCATATCCCTGGCCCAGAAAGCCCTTTTTTCCAGCACCATTTATTAGACAGGTGATCTTTTTTCCATTGAATGGTCAAAGATAAGGTGGCTGAGCATATTTGGAATTGTTTCTGGATCTTCTAATCTGTTCCAATGATCCTCAGATCTGTTTTTTTGACAGTGCCATGGTGTATTTTAATCACAGTAGCTTTTTAATTTCAAATCAGGGATTGAGGTGTCCCCTGCCTTGCCTCTTTTGTTTGTTTTTTTCAAGATTTATTTATTTATTTGGTACAGGGTCTCACTGCACAGCTGGGACTCATAGTGATCCTTATGTGTTAGCCTTCCCAGCACTGGGAGTACAGGTGTGTGCCACCATGCCCAGTTTCAGTGACTGTCACTGCATGTGGTACTGGGGATTGAACCCAGCTCCTTGTTTTTGCCAGGCAGGTGCTTAGAGCACCAAGCTATTTCCTGGGCCTTGCCTTTTGTTGCTCAGGATTAATATTATTACTATTGTTATCATATTTTTGAGACAGGTTCTCATTGTGTAATGCAGGCTGGCCTTGAACTCACTTATGTAGCTCAGGCTGGCCTCAAACACACATTGATCCTCCTGCCTCAGTCTTCCTAGTGCTGGGATTACAGGTTTGTGCCACTATGCCCAGGCTAGAATTATTTTTGCTATTTTGGGTCTCTTCTGCACCTCCCCCCCCCCCCGAAACTGGGGATTGAACTCAGGCCCTTGCACTTGCCAGGGAAGTGCTTATTCTACTGAGTCATCTCCCCTGCCCCTCTGGGTCTCTTCTGGTTACAAATGAATTTTAGGATTGTTTTCTCTAACTGATATATGCTGTTGATATTTTTATTGGAATTACATTAAATCTGTAACAACTTTGAAAGTATAATCATTTTTACTATATTGTCTCTTCCTACCCTGGAACAAGGGAAATCTTTCCATTTTTTGATATAATTTCCCATCTCCATTTTCAGAGTACTGTAGTTTTCAGTGTCTTTTAATTTTGTTAGATTTAGTTCTAGGTATCTAATTTTTCTTGATGCTATAGTGACAGGCATTATTTCTCTAATTTCTCTCTCAGTGAGTTTGTTACTTGTGTACAGAAATCCTACTGATTTTTGAATGTTAATTTTGTATCCACCTGTGGTACTGAATTTGGTTATTAAATCTAGAAGTCTTTTGGTGGAGATTTTGGAGTCTTCTATGTACAGTATCATGTCATCTGCAAATAATGATAATTTAACTCTTTTCCATCCTTATTCCTTTTATTTCTATCTCTTGTATTAATTGTCCTGGCTAATGTTTCTGGAACTGTATCGTAAGAGTTGGTGACAGTGGACATCATTGTCTTATTCCTGATTTTAGAGTGAAAGCTTTCAATTTTTGTCCATTTAGTATGATGATGACTTTGGTTTTTCATAGACGGCTTTTGTCTGAGACAAAGATCATCTATTCCAGTTTTATTTAGGGTGTTTTCCGTGAATGGGTGTTACACTTTGTCAGACACTTTTTCTGCATCATACGGTCTTTATCCTTGGCTCTGTTAATGTGGTGTAGTAAATTGCCAACTGGTGGTCAATTTATTACACTCAGCTAAACCAAACTAGTGTGCTGCTGGGTGTGGGAGGCCTACCTGAGGATTGTTGCTAGCAGCACATGAGGCAGAACTAGGGAAGCTCTTGAGAGGCTGTTGGGAGCAGTTAGACACTGTTGGTAGCTGTTGGAATCTATTGAAAGCTGCTGGTTCTCTTGGGCTATTCTGCTTTGGGACTTGTTACGCTGACTTTCCTGGTGAGCTTGGTTGTTCTCATTGTAGGAGGAGCTTAGGACCTCATTGTCACTGAGGACTGCTGTAGTTAGTTCATTTTGAGGAGCTATGGTCCTCATCTTGAGTATTGCTTCCTGGTTCCATAGGGGAAGATGGTGCACTGCTCAGCCTCCTGTAGAAGTTTGTTCCATTGACTTTTCTGATAGGAGCTCGGCTGTTCTCATTCGTGGAGGAGCTTGGGACCTCACTGTTGCTGAAGATGGCTTTAGTACTTTTCAGGGAAGCTCTGGTTCTTACCTTGAGTGTTGCTTCCTGGTGCCAGACAGTTCAGATCCCTCAACCTGCTTGCACAGATTCCTGTTCCTACTGGCATAGACTTTGTAGCTTCCACCACTGACATTTGGGCCTTCCCAGCACAGATCCATGAAACAGGCCTGCATAGAACATTATTGTAGTCCTTGTTACCTCTTTATAGAATGTCCTTTAGAACATTTTGGAGTGCTGGTTTGGTATTCACGTATTTCTTCAGGTGTTCTCTGTCATGGAAGTATATTATTTTTATATCAAATTTGAAACAGTTTTGTGGAATATCCTAGTCTAGGTTGAAGGTTCTTTTCTTTTAGGGATTGAAATACTTCACCCCAAGCTTTCCGTGACTTGAAGGTTTATATTGAAAAGTCACTATGATTCAGATTGACTTCCTTTTATAGGTGATTTATTTCTTTTCTCTTAACAGTTTTTACTATCCTATTCTTGTGTTGAATTTCTGGAATTTTGACTAGTATATGCCTTGGTGTAAAATTTTTTTTTTTTTTATGGCTAATTCAAGTTCTATATTCCTTGCTTACTGTGTGTCAAATTTTTTTCTCTGCGTAGGGAGTTGACTTTTATGAATTTGTGAACTGATTTTTTAATTTCATTTGTTCTGTCTTCTGGTTTTTCATTGACACCCATCAATTGTATTTATTATTCTTTGCATCATCTAGCAGCTGTTGGATTGTTTTTTCATGGTCCCTTGCTATTTTTAAGAAATTTTTCTTTTCATTATCACTAACTGCAATCCATTCTTTTGTATCTGATATTCTGCCTTCACATTGGCTCATTCTTCTTTGTGTACTTTCAGTGGGATTTGTATTCTCCTGGATATCTCGTTTTTTTGTTTTTGTTTTTCGTTTTTTTTTTTTTTTTTGAAAGACAGTATGGTAATAATTGGTATGTCATGACAAGAAGTACATATTTAGAAGACCAGAATGACAGGCCTTCCAAGCATGATCCTTGTTACATTGCTACCTTCAGTGCAGTTGCTTGGTTCACAGGTATGGGTATCTGTTTGAATCTGTTTCATGGATTCCATTTCTTTCCTATGTTAGGTGTTCTTGGTTTCCATTGTTTTCCTAAGCTCCTCTATTTTTATTTTTTATCTGTATCTTCTCTGGAGCCACTAATCATGTCTTTCATTATGAACACCGTCTCTGTAGTTGAGAAGTAATTTCTGACCTGATTTTCATAGTGCCTCATTCACCTGGTTTGGTACTTTTGCTGTTACCATTTCAGAGAGTCTAGGCAGATACCTTTCAACGTGTTCCATTTTACGGCCCCGTGGGTTTGCTGTTCATGAGCCTAAGTGTCTTACTTTCTTTCTTTTTAAACAAAAAAATTTTTTTTTCTAGTTTAATTCCTTGGATGGCATGTGTAAATTGCTTATAGCAGTTTATTGCTAGTATTAAATAGCAATATTAAGTAACAAGTATTAAACCCTTAGGAAATGACTACTTCTGAAAGATATCTTCCAGGTGTAGCTGGCTGCATTGTGAATCTGTTGGAACTCAGAACAGCTGGCCAGCTCCATCTGTTGGCTCCAATGTCTGGATGAGTTTTCAGAGTTCAAGTTGCAGGAGATTAAGTAGCCAAATTCATGCTGGCAGGGAGGTAAGGTCAAGCTGGCAGGAGGCAAGTGGAATGTTGCAGGCTGAGCAAATCAGGTTCCAGCCTCACAGCCAGAAACTAGCCTGAATTTAAGTGGAGCTCAAGGCTTAGGATAGTTGGGATTATCCACTACCCCACCATACATCTATTGCTGGGATTAATCAATTTGGATCTGGACTCTCATCTCCCCCCTTTGTCTACCGGTGACAGCAGAGACATGCCTTGAAGTAGACTTTTTTTTTTTCTCATTTACTTTTTTTCCCCATTTTTTTTTTTTTTCTAATCTCTTCCTCTTCTATTTCTCTATTTTTTTTTCCTCCTAGTCCCATTTAAATTTTGTTCTGCATGTAAGATTGTCATGTTGAAAGCGTATTTGCTGCATACAATTTTTGGTTTACTTAAAATTTTGTTACATAGATTAAAGTGCCTGCTTAGAGCCCAGCGGCCGGGTTAGATCCCCAGTGTGCTGTGATGGCCCCACTCCCCGGGGTATGCTGAGATGGTGATTGAGACTGGGCTGGTGGTGCATAACTGTAATCCTAGCACTTGGGAGGCTGAAAATAGGAGAATCACTAGAATCCAGTCTGTGTAGTGAGACCCTGTACACCTTGTATGGAATACATAAAAATGAAAAAAGAAATTGTTATATAACCACAAATCTAATTCATAAAACTGGAAAATTAATAGTTACCACAGTTTGTCATTTTCTAGGTTGTGCTTAATACTATTGTTTTTGCAGATTGTACGACTTAGGTACCTAAGTGACTGATATTCTAATCAGTTTTTCTTTCTGGTGTGCCAAGACTGAGATTGCCTAAGGCTCCTAAATAGTACTATAAGCCAGAGACAAAGAACTAGGGGCTGGACCAAGAGGGCAGCACCTTCTCATCCCCAATAAATTGAAAGGGTAGAATCTTGCAACAGTCCCTAAACTATACTGTGTTTAAGTATGGCTTTATTGCTATCTTGTCATTTACATTTATGACATTAAAATAATTCTAACATGTATGTCTTTGTTGGTAGAACTTATTATTTTAGTTTTTATAAGTTCTTTTTGGAATTTGAACATGATAACTATTGATATTGATGTTAAATTTCCTCCTTTAGAAATTGATTTAAAAGAAGTGTCATGTGGAAGTACTTTTCATCTTATATAGTTTCTTGAGTACTAGAGTTTTAATATCTTAATTTTTTATAATTTAAGATATGCTTTGTTTTCTGAGTTTAGATACATTTCCTTATTTCTTTCTTTTTTGGGGGAGGGGGCTCGAAGCTGGGATTGAACTCCTCAGGCCCTTGCACTTGCCAGGAAAGCACTTATTCTACTGAGCCATCTCCCCGGCCCCCTCTTTATTTCTTATGCTACTTGAGTTTTCATTTATGAATGCTTTTAATTTTCTCTCTCTATATTAACCCACTAATTGTTAACTAACTCATTGTTTTCTCTATCTCAATTACGTAATGAAAATATTACTTTTCTTTTAAAAATATTTTTTATGCTTTTGACATGCTGTTTGCATTAAAAGGTTACACTTAGCCTTGTGACTTCCTTTATTCATCAGATTATGTTTTAATGTCTTATCTATCATTTCTTCTGTTTATCCTTAACTAAATGCTGTAGTGCAAAATATGATCTTATACTAGATGAGCAGGCAGAAGACTCAAAATCAAGTCACTCACACACAAGTAAAAAACACAAGAAGAAAACACGACATTGCTCTGAAGAAAAAGAAGATGAAGACTACATGCCCATCAAAAATATTAATCAGGTATTTTTATTTTTTTTAATTTTTTAATTTTTTATTTTTGGCAGAACCGGGGATTGAACTCAGGCCCTTGCGCTTGCCAGGGAAGCGCTTATTCCACTGAGCCATCTCCCCGGCCCCTTAACCAGATATTTTTAATGCCCAGACTTAGATATGGAGAAGCAAATGTAGTGATACTTGGGTTCACAAACTTAATTTGTTCTATGGTTTTGGAAAAGATGGACCACATTTGTATGGGAAAGTTGGCTGTGGTCATGTTTATCACCTGACACAGTTTGTAAACAAAACAAAATTTTGCCAAGTGCTTCTGTTTGTGAATCAAATTGTTTGTTGAGAAAACTGTTCTTGAACTGAGGTACTGCAGTATGCAGTTTCTTTTTTTTTTCTTTTCTTTTCGAGACAGGGTTTCTCTGTATAGTTCAGGATAGTCTCAAACTCTCAGCTATCCTCCTGCCTCAGCCTCCCAAGTGCTGGGATTAACAGTGCTGCTGGTGTAGTGGTATCATGCAAGATTCCCAAGTGCTGGGATTATAGGTGTGTGCCAGTACCTCCAGCTGTTGTCCATTTATTTATTTATTATATATTTGGTGCATGGCACAGGGTCTCACTACCCAGCTCAGACTTGTAGTGATCCTCCTGTTTTCAGATTCCAGTGCTGGGATTGCAGGCGTTTGCCACCACACTCCCATCTCTGTGGCCAGGTCAGCACACCCGTGAGTGGGGCCAGCATGGAATGTGGTCCTGGGGATTGAACCTCAGTCCCTGCACTTGCCTAAGCAGGCAATTAGTTCACTGAGCTATCTCACTGGCCCTGTTGTCCCTTTTAAACTTACCTCTTGGTGGTATAATGTCAGAGGCAGTGGCTAGTTCTGCATAGGGATAGATATGTAGTTCCTAGTTCCAAAATGTAAATTGGCTATGTATGGTAATGGGCTTTAATTTTCAAGAATATATATCAAAGGCCGGGGAGATAGCTCAATAAAATAAGCACTTGCCTGGAAACCTCAAGGCCCTGAGTTCAATCCCCGGTACCACAAAAAAAAAAAAAAAAAAAAAAGTATCAAAAATTATAAAAGATTGTTTTCACAGTGACTTAATGTATATTTCTTATGTTATCAAACAAGCAGTTTCTGTACCTGTGTCTACTTGTTTATTCGTATCAAAACAAGTGTGTCTGTGCTCGAAAAATGCTTCCATTTGTTAACTTATCAGGAGGCGTTTTATGGATGTTGCTGCTCTGGAGATTTTTTTTTTTTTTTTTTTTTGCTCCGAATGCCCTCAGGGCAGGTTTGGCTTGCTTGAGTTGTGGGGATGAACCCCAGCAACCTGAGCCTGACTGCTTTGTTGAAGCAGCCACCTAAAGAACTGAGCTAAGGGGCAGGCCCCCAATCCTGGAGGTTTTGCAGCCTATGAAACGTTTATGTCCTTCCATATTGTGCATATGAAATAAAACTACACTAACAATTAACTTGATTATCTCAAAGCTCTTCTGAATGATTTTCTAAAATAATGAAATAGAAAATTTTGACATAGAAAATTGATTATGAAGAGATCATTTCTAATCTGTGTTTTTTTCTGTTGATTAAATAAAAAGCAGATTACATCTCTGCCCCCTGCTTTTGTCTTAGCACGTGGAAGACATGTGAATTAGTCCCTAGTGGGTGAGGGTTTCAGCAGGCGGAAGTGAGTGACACAAAGACAGAAGGAGTGTGGCCCAGTAGGCAAGGTTAAGAATTTGCTGTCTGAGCCATTAGGTTTGTATTTCTACACTGCTAGTTATTGGTGTGACCCTCGCAAGTTACTTAACTTTCTGAGCCACAGTCTTCTCCTCTGCAAAAGTTAGGTAATACTTAACAAGTATGTGTTAAGAGCAAATTAAAAAAAATTGTGTCAACATTTTCATCACAGAATTCTTACTACCACTACTTATACTGTTATAGACAAATTACTATTTTAGAGTTAGCAGTAATAGTTTCTCTTGTGGTTATGTCATTAACTGAGTTCTTGAATTCATATTTTAATTAATTTTTCTCATTTTATTTTTGAAATGAAGGGGTTGTTTAAGCCTGTTTTTGGTTTGCAGTTTTAAAAATTATATGTTTGAAAATAAAATATACAACATAATGTGATAGTGTATATGAAGAACTTAATATATTCTTATTCTCCTTTTTCTTCTTCCATAGGTAACTATTTTATATGTTTTGCAGTTTCTTCATTTAAAAATTTTTCAACAAATATATATTTGATAAATATTCCTGGCTTCTCATGTCCTGGATAGGTACCCCTTGCTGTTGCCTAATGAAAGTATAGTCTTCTTTCCATAGCCTATTAACTATGTGAAGATTGCCATCATGCCTATCCCGTCCCAGTTGTAAAATAGACCTTTATCTTTTTCTTTATTCCTCACATGAGTTAGTAATAATATGAGCAGTAGTAGCTGACATCTTTATTGTCTTTGCATTGTGAGGTGATTTCTTTTATCTTCATTTCACAAAATAGAAAACAGTAAAGATGAAAAAGATTTATACTGGTCCATGGCTTTATATAGCTAGTACATAATGGGACCAATTTAGATAGATTCATACCCCTAGCAACTCTTCTGCTGTTCTCATTTGAATGTACTCCTGTCAATTTCCTTTCCTCCGCCCTGTTATTGTACCAAGAATAATTTGCCCCTAGTGCTATTTCAGTGAGGTATAACAGAAGTGTCTCATCTCTCTTAATTTCTATACTTAGTCTAAAGACACCCCCACCAAAAATGTCAACCTGAACTTTTTTTTAGGCAGGGTCTCACTGTACAGTGCAGTCTGACCTTGAATTCACTCATGTAACCCACATTGGCCTGGAACTTGTGGCGATTCTCTGGCCTTAACCTTCCTAGTGCTGGGATTGCAGGTATGCACCACCACCCTGATACCTCAGACTTTTAAAATGGTACTTACATCACATTCTTAGGAATTTTTAGCACTCTTTCCATTAAAAAGCTCAATCCTTCTCCCCACCCAAGCTCATGGTGCTTTTAGCTGCAGCTTTTTGCCCTGAACTTTTGCATGGACTCTTCAGTGAACTGAGGCCAGAAATAAACATTAGTGTGTGTGAGATGATCAGAGGTCTAAAAAAATGGGAAGACTGTCTACATTTTAAGACTGCCCCCTCGTCACTTTTATGAATCTTTTGATTCTGTTGTTAATGATTATGTAAGGCCTTATAGTGGCAGACACCCTCTTTTGGCATCACATTCTTAGGGAGGAATGCTGTTAGCTCTTGCTGCTTTTTATTTATTTATATATTTTTATTGGCAGTACTGAAAGTTGAACCCAGGTCCCTGCTAAGCAAGCTCTGTACCATTGAGTCCCCTGGCCCTTTTTTATTTATTTTGAGACAAAACCTTACTAAATTGCCCAAAGGGGCCTTAAAATTTTGACCCACCTGCTTCAGCCCCAATATTGGGGTCATAGGAGTGTTTCATCATGCTCGTCTTGGAGTTAGCACTGTAATTAAAGGG